CACACTGTGGTGAGCTGGGAAGGCCACTGCGGGTGGACCCCAGGCCCCCATGCCTCTCTGTGATTGTCACAGTGTCACCCCCTCTCAGCTGCAGTTATAGCAATAGGGAAGGGTGGCCCCAAGGAGGGCCACCCATAGCCACACACCCCAACTCCGGACACCCTGGCTGTACACGTGCACCCGCAGGCCCACCTGGAGATGCAGGTGCACACGGACACCTAGCTTCAGGAGCTAGGTGTGCACGCAGCTTCAGGACTGCGTGCACACGCTCCCAGCCCCCCCCCCGTGTGTGCACACGGGTAGACACGCACACTTGCACAGATGAGCATGCGTGTTTGTGGACATGGACGCACATCCCCACGTGTGAAGACACAGTCACTTGTGTGTTGCTTGTGCAGTGACACACAGATGCATGCGCACATAGTTTGAAAACACCCTCTCCCCCAGGAAAAGCCACCTGGGGCTTCTCAGGCCCTTCTTCAGGGACGGGCTGTGGAGGGCCTGGTGCCGGCCCCCATCCCCATCCCCCACTCAGGGAGCCCCCGACCTGCAGGGGGCAACACAGCAAGGTGGAACAAAGGCCATCGGGATGAAGTCGTGAATCTGAGGGTGTCCTAAGGGTCTCTGGGAAGGGAGAGTTTTTCCCTGGCTCCCTGTGAAGGGAAATGGCCGGGCAGAGCACCAAGAGTGAGAGGACCTGTGCTAGGAGGGGCTGTTGTGTGACAGCAAGGAGCAGGCCGGACACAGAGTGTGGGTGCCGGACAGTGTGGTCAGCACCTTCTCCTGCAGGCAGCGGGAGCCCCAGAGGGTGATCTGAGCGTGGGGCTGCAGGCTCTGGTCCTCAGGGGAGTTCTTGAGAGTGAACAGCAGGCATAGGACCAGCCATCCTTCCTCAAGGTCACCTCAGGGCAGTGCAGGGGTGGTGTGACCCACACCGTCACCTCTCCAGGGTGGTTCTGCTGCCCTTCCCGGCTCAGGGGCAGGTCTGAGAGAGGAGGGAGCATCGGATCACAGACTGTGAACAGGTGGGGGTCCCTGGGGCAGATTTCTTTCTCCACTTGCCAATCGTGTGGCCTTGGCAAGTTACTTAACCTTCCTGAGCCTCTACATCCTCAGCTATAAAATGGGGACGATAATAGAAAGCTTCCTAAGAGAGCTATTATAGGTGTCAAAGAATAGCCCAACGACGTTAGGCTAATTATTAGCTTGCTGTTTATTTCTGTACAAGGAACAGGTATCCATAGATTGATTTCATCCCACAACAATAAAAGGATTTACATAAGAGAGAGGGGAGAGAAAAGCAGGCACAGTAAATCTTGTCTGGACATTTTTGAGTAAACTGGTTAGCTGGCATCTTGCTTCCGCCGACTTTGGGTATGAAGACGAATGCTCCAGTTTACAGATTCTACAGGCAACCGTGAGAGCTTTGCTGTGGGGCTGTGATGCTGAGCGCCAGGGGTCCCCGTCACACCTGCCACCAGCACTCCCGGCTTGGTTACACCAGGTCTGCTCCATTCCCTCGTCAGTATCCCTGGTAGGCTCATTGAGTTGGAAGGTGTCAAGTGCCTGGAGGAGGTGGCACACAGTAGGAGCCCAATAAACGGCAGCTCTTGGTATTGCCTCCACGAGTTCAGCAGATGCTGCTGAGCAGCTCCTCTGCCCTAGGCACGGAGGTGCCCCAGTGCGGCAGACATAGTCCTGATGCCCAGGAACTTCCGGGTCAGCCGGGGAGAGAGGCAGACTCGGCGACTCGGCGCAGGTCACCATTCCGTGCAGCCAGTGAGCGCCAACTGCATGCAGCCTCTCCAGGCCCGGGAGGGGCCTGGCGGTGAATCTGACTTGTTGCATCTTTGGGGGCGCTCCAGGCCCAGTCAGAGAGGCATGGGAAACAGAGCTCCATGCTGGGGTCGGGGTCGGTGTCGGGGGAGGATGCAGAGATGGCACCATGGCGCCTCCCGCCTGCCCCCGTCCCTGCTGTGGCCCCCAGGCTCCTTGACCAGATCTGGGTGTAGGGGCGCCGTCAGAGAACCATGTCCTTCACCTGTCCCTGGGCTGAAGGAAGGGGAGGAGAAGGCCCAGGAGAGCCTGGGAGGGGATGTCAAAGGGGCCAAGGACTGGGGCCTTGAGGGATCTAAGCCAGGCGGGCCAGGTGGGGAGTAGCACAGCCAGGTTAGTGCCAATCTCCCTGCCCGGGCAGCAGCACCTGTCACTGGGACCCTGAGGATGACCTCCCCATCCCTCAGGCAGGTGGGCCGCAGGTGGGCCAGATGAGAACACCGAGGTCCCTACCCAGGGCCATAAGGTGACAGTTCAGGGAGGGTGCAGGTGTCCTGGAGGGTGGAAGGGCAGGAGCAAGTAAAGAGGCAGGTGGCGGAGTGACCTCATGGGAGGACTCCCCCTGGCTGCACCCTGGGCAGGCTGCGGGTCTGGGTGCTCAGGTTCCAGCACTGACAGGTGAGACCTGGTTGAGCTGTGGATGTGGTTTGGCCACTGTCCCTGTGGGGACATCTGGGCACCACCGCTGAGCTGGGCAAGACGGCAGCCTGGCTCAGGCTCACCTAAATACAGTCCACTGCCACTGAGCCCCTGCCCTGCTCCAGGGCAGGGTGGCCTACAGGGGCATACTCTTTGGGGCCCCAGTATCCCGTTGCCAGAACCAGCCTCTCCTCCCTGCAAGCCCATAGCCAGCACTTCGAACAAGAAGTCTTTCCTTCTGCCCCCCTACGCAGGTGTGCTTTTACCTGTACTGTGTCGCCTGCAGCCCTGAGCCTTACACACAGCACACACACGTGTACCACACACACGGGATACACATACACACACACAAAAAAAAACACGTCATAAACAAGATACAACACAGAACAGGGCCGGGTGGGGAGGCTCATGCCTGTGATCCCAGCACTTTGGGAGGCCAAGGTGGGAGGATCGCTTGAGGTCTGGAGTCTGAGGTTGCAGTGAGCTAGGATAGCACCACTGCACTCCAGCCTGGGTGACAGCCCTGTCTCTAAGGACAAAAAAAACCAAAAAACAAAAAAACACAAAACATACATACTGACTACACACACACGCACACACACAGAACTGGTAGAAGTCACAATGGCACACACACACATACAAACAGAAGATACATTCCTGCTTTCCTCGCATTTTTACTTTGAGCAACAATCAACAACAACAAAAAAATGTTTGAAATTTGAAAATGGAAAAGGGGCTCTAAGGTTTGAGAGAGTAAAGAGTAGGCCCCTCCCCACCACATATCGTTCCCAGTGGCCCTTGTGGCATTTGGGAAGCTGACCCTTGGGCCTCGAGCTGGTCTCAGCCCAGGCAGCTTCCTGCCCCTCCTTTGCGGGGCCACACCAGGCACCTCTCCCCCTGCCACCCCTCACACTGTCCGCCCCAGACCGGCTCCCTGCAGACCCCACCGCATGGGGTCACGCGGGGGGCATCTCGCTGCTGCGTGTGAGTCCTGCCTCTCTGGGCCTCTGGAGTTTGGGGGTCTTGGGTCTCTAACAGCCTCTCTTCATGAGCAATCGGTGAGCTAGACCCCCGTCATGGAGTGAGTCGCCAGATCCCCCCAAGAACCCAGCGAGGCTGGGCTGCCGTGTGCACACAAAGAAGTGATCACACCAGCTCACGTCAGATGGCTGAGGCTGTTTTCTTAATCCTGGGCCCAAACACTGTCTGCTTCCTTGAGCCATTCTCTTCCAGCCTCTGAGGGCACCAGGTGGACGGATGGCCTAGGCTGGTCTCAGCCACCCCCCAGTGTGGGCAAGCAGGGTTCTCGCCCCTGCAGGGCGGTCAGTTCCAGAAACGTATGGAGCTGACCCAGATATTTAAGCTCCTGTGCGTCAGTTTCCTCTTCTACCAACTGGGGATCATGGTAGCACCTTTCCTGTGGGTTGCGGTGACATTGAAAAATGAATCCATGTACATCCTGGCTACCATGATTAACTTACTCCTCTTCTAACCACTGCGCCCCCCACCAGGAAGCCCTCCTTAGCCCCCGCAGTCTGGCTCAGGTACCTTCCTTCCCCGACACCGGCCTCCTCCAGTGCCTGTCATCCAGACCACCGCCCTGGCCCAGCCCCACACTGTGCAGTGGGCGCCCTTCCTGCCTCTCGGGGTCAGGGGCCACTGACACGGGCCTCTGTGCCATCTGTGCGCAGTGTGTGTGTTGGGGTCTCCTCGCTGCTGCCTCTGGGAGGAGGCTCACTGCCCAGACGCCCAAGTGCAGCCCCTCTCCCTGCCCCAGGCCTGGCGGGGGAGCAGCGCCTTCCCCTCCCACCCTCAGCTGAGCCCGTGTTGGGGTCCGGGTGAGCAGGGGCTCCAGGAGCTGGCCTGTGATTGCAGTCACAAAGCTCCTTCTCCCCCCAGACCCTCCCCCCGAGCACAGACATGGACAGGCCTCCACACACGTGGCATGAACACATACGGCTCTTCCAGACTCGGCAGACTCGGTCTCATCGGACGATCAGAGGTTCCTAACTTCTTGGGGGGGACCTTCAGGATACCCCTCCTTGGCTTGGCTTCCTCTTTCCAGAGTGAGGGCCCTGGCCCGCCCCCACAAGGAACTCAGTTGGTTAGGGACATTGCTGTCTGCCTCCACTCTGCCATTGAGAGGACACCAGCCACTCTTAAGTTCCTACTCTAGCCTTGTCAAAGGACCCTGCTAGCACCCCTCCATCCGGACAACTTCCTGTGAGGCCAGGCTGCAGTAGGGGAGCCCCTCCCAGCCCAATGTCCCACGCCAGCTCCAACCCCAGTAGGCAAGTCAGTCCTGCCTCAGCCACTGATGCCTGGCCAGCCGGGACTCTTGGCATAATGACAGGGACCAGGGCAGGGGGCTAGGGGAGTCTGCCCCGGGACACCCCTTGGGAAGTCACATGTAAAGGTGGGGGCTGGAGCTGAGGCGTGACGCCGCGTGCCTGTGTGTGAGTGTGTGTGGCTGTGTGGTGGGGGCAGGGCTTACAAGCCTGGAGATGTTGGTGGGGCTGCCAGGAAGGCTTCCTGGAAGAGGGGGTCCTGGCTAGCAGTGAGAGGGAGGCACAGGCTCTCTAGGGACCAGGGGAGGCAGGCTGCAGTGAGGCCCAGGTGTCCCTGTCAGAGCCTATGATACTGGCCGCCCCTTCCCCCCACCAACCCCCCCTAGGATCCTCCCTGCGGCTCCCTGTGGCCAGCAGCTCTGCAGCACTCGGCTCTGCTCCACTCCGCTCCGCTCCGCTCCAGGAAGGCCACCTCCTCCTCCCCCTCCTTCTCCTGCTGTCACCACTCACCACACATAGCCTCCAGGGGGTGGGGACCCCAGACCTGGACACACCCCACCGTGGCGCTGGAGCTCAGTTGGTCAGACGGACGCACGGTTGGACGCAGGACCCCGGAGCCCCGAGGTGGGCAGTGTGCCAGGGTCCCTCGCAGCCTCCTCAAGGTCAGTGCCAGCTGGGGAGGCAGCCACTCTGGGGCCCTTGAGACCTGCAGGGTCCACCCAGGCCCCTCATCCCAGATCACAGGTCCCAAAGTGGTCTTTGCCCCAGGTGCACCTGAACCAGGCAGGACAGGGGGAAAGGGGACACCCCTGTGTTCATAGGCCAGCACAGGTCCGGGGGTCTATCAGGAGAGGCCCCAGGCTGGGGGCCAGCTCTTCACAGAGGTCTCGCTGGGGACACCCTGCATCGGCCATGGGGAGCTAAAATTGGAAAGTGGTGAGTGGGAGGCAGCTGACAAAGCTATTTCGCGGGCTCTGGTTTCAGGCTCCTGCTCCGGTTTCAGGCTCCTGCTCCATTAACCTGATCCCCAGGGCTCCCTACCCCCACCCGGCCGCTAAGGAGGTGCCTCAGCCCTCAGGCAACCCCCGGCGTGGGCAGGGGCAGCGAGGGTCCCCTCTTATCTGAGACCCCAGCGGGGCTCACCGAGAATGTCCGGTCCTGAGGGGAGGCAGACGGAAGCCTGTCCCAGGTTCCCTGTGTGGCCTTGGCAGGCCCCTGCCCCTTTCTGGCCTGTGACCTCCCCCCAGCTGTCAACTGTGGAGGCCCAGGAGAGCAGGCTGCAGGGCTGGGGATGCAGATTTGGGGAAGGCTCTAGGTGGGAGACAGGGCTACACCAGCCACCTCTTGGCCCTGCTCAGCCTGATAAGTGCCTAGGCATGTTCCTCCCTTTTATTTGAGCCTGAGTCTGTACTCATGGAGCCCTTGGGAAACCCCTGGGCCAGGCTGATGCAGGGTAGGAATGGCACAGGTCCTAGCTGAAGCCCAGGGATGGCCCAGCAGGACTCCTGGGGACAAGCTAGACCCCTGCAGGCGGAGTGGCTAGGCTCCTCTGGGCCTGATTCCGGTCAGCACCTTGGACAGCAGCCAGCGCCCTCCCCGGTGCCGGCCTGGCCCTGCCTGCTCCGCCAGGGCACCTCCTCAACAGCACAGCCTCCGGCCAGCACCAGGGCTGAACACACAGAGCACGGAGAGAGTGGGGCCGTGTGGTCACATACAGGCTGGGACCAGGGATGTGGCAGGCTGGAGTGCAGGGGTTTGCGGGGGATGGAGGTCAGCAAGAAGCTGGAGGCTGACTGAGAAGGATGGAGTCTGGGCAACAGGGACAGAACCGGGAGGTCATGGGCTCCCAGGGAAGGAAGGACAGCGTGGGGTATGAGGGAGTGGAGAAGGTGTCTTGGAGGGGACTGGGCCTTTGTCAGGAGCTGAAGGAGGCTCACTGAGGGACCTGGGGGCAGACACCTGATTGAGGTGATAGACATGAGGTTTCTCCACATGAAGGTCTGCACAGAGGGTGGGGACCAGCCCACCCGCAGGTATGGAGCAGTAAATGGAGGTGAGTAAGGCAGGCTGAGTGAGCCCGGGATGGGAGGGTGGGGACTCGAGCAGCGGCTAGGATAGGGCGCCATGTTGGGTAACCAGGTGGGAGGAATGGGGTGGGCAGAGTGATGGCCCAAGGTCCCCAGGGGGCAGGCGGGGCAGTCTGTCTTCAGAGTGGGTCCCCAGTTCCTGAGTGGGGGACCATGAGGCAGGGCTAGGCAGGGCGGCAGCTGCAGTTCCCTCACCGGACCCATCTTCCCCAGCCCTGTCCAGGCTATGGGCATCAAGACAGCGTTGCCTGCGGCCGAGCTGGGCCTCTACTCCCTGGTGCTGAGTGGAGCGCTGGCCTATGCTGGCCGGGGCCTCCTCGAGGCTTCACAAGGTAACAGCCGAACCCGGGGCAGCGGATGGGGCCCTTCCTCCCCTGGGAGCCTCTGGGTTCCAACCAGCAAGGCCAGACACTCACGGGCTCCAGACCCAGGGTACCCCCTAGGCCCTGGGGACTGGATGGAATCAGGTGCAGTCACTGGGTCGCAGAGATGCGGAGATACTGACAGAGACACTCAGACACTCAGGGACACAGTCAGATCAGGACCCAGAGAGAAGCAGAACAAGAGAGACCCAGACCCGCTCCCGGCTCTCGTGCCCCAGGGTGGGGGCAGCCCTGTCCATGGGGAAGGCAGGGGCGGGGAGGTGAAGGACCCCTCTGCCTGAGCCTCGCTCTGTTCTCAGATGGGGCCCACAGGAAGTCCTTCCGCGAGTCCGTGCGACCCGGCTGGGAGTACATTGGCCGGAAGATGGTAGGTTCCCCACACCCTGGGGTCCCTGCTTGGGGTCCCGGAGCCCCGTGCATCTCTCCCATCCCAAACCCTTCCCACTCTCCACTGTTCAGAGGTTCTCGTGTAACGGAGGGCACCTCCCAGCAAGAGGGTCTCTGTGCCTTTGGCTCTCCCCGGGCCCCTCCCGTGTCCATTAGGAACTGGGTCACAGATACCGAGATGTGCTTTGGCAGGGGCCTCCGCCGTGCCCCTCCCAGCAATGCAGCAGCAATGCGGGGTGTCAGGCGAAGTGCTGAGCAGAGGTGCACTTTGGGGGCAGGGCAGCCCACCCGGGGCCCCCCATTCCTCTCTACCTATTCAGAGAGGAATGCAGGGCCCTCAGCTAATGCATAAGAAGAACCCGAGGGCCAGGAAGGTGCTGGGACTCTGCCCAGCCAGGTGCCAGCCCATCCTGCCCCCTCTCCCACCCTAACCGCCCACCTCCTCCTGCCCGGGCTGCCCAGGACGTGGCCGACTTCGAGTGGGTGATGTGGTTCACCTCCTTCCGCAACGTCATTGTCTTCGCCCTCTCGGGACACGTGCTGTTTGCTAAACTCTGCACGATGGTTGCCCCCCAGGTGAGCGGGACCTAGGCCACCCAGCCTCCCCCTGCCCACTCCTCTGTGGCCACCAGGGTTGTGGGGACTGTATCCCGGGGTCCCCCCCACCACTTACACAGATAGTTCACCGGAGCCCTGTTTCTGTCCACAGCTGCGCTCCTGGGTGTATGCCGTGTACGGGGCTCTGGCCGTCGCAGGCACGATGGGCCCTTGGTACCTGCTGCTGCTGCTCGGCCACTGTGTGGGCCTCTATGTGGCCTCGCTCTTGGGCCAGTCCTGGCTCTGTCTCGGCCTCGGCCTGGCCAGCCTGGCCTCCTTCAAGATGGACCCCCTGATCTCCTGGCAGGTGTGCACTGCAGTGGCACAGGGGTGGAGGGTGCGGGGATCCAACCCCAAAGTCTCACTCCAGCCGAAGACCTTGCCTCCCAAGTGTCCCAAGCCTCTCCTTCCCTTTCTCACCGGTCTTCAAGGCTTGCAGTGCGTCCTGGCCACAGGGGATCACCTGCACCAAAGGAACCTGTCCAGTGTGTCCTCTGCTCTGTCACATCACTGGGACAGAGCAGTGGCCAGTGTTACCTGGCTCAGGGAAGAGAGGGAGTGGCAGGACCAGGTTGGGCCCCAGGGGAAGCTGGGGGGCTTTTCCCAGAGACAGGAGGCGCCGTGGTGAGCTCATGACCCGTTCCTTGCCCTCCAGAGCGGGTTTGTGACAGGCACTTTCGATCTACGAGAGGTGCTGTTTCAGGGCGGCAGCGGCTTCACGGTGCTGCGCTGCACCAGCTTCGCGCTGGAGAGCTGCGCCCACCCGGACCGCCGCTACTCCCTGGCCGACCTGCTCAAGTACAACTTCTACCTGCCCTTCTTCTTCTTCGGGCCCATCATGACCTTTGATCGCTTCCACACCCAGGTGAGGGGACACCTGCGGGCTTCCAGAACAGGGCTGGATCTCCCTTTTCAGACGGGGGCTCCCATCTCAGACAGAGCCCCCCAGGCAGGATTCCTGCATGAAGCCAAGTCTCCCCTCCCTCCTCCGACCCAGGACAGGGGGATGGTCACAGCCATCCTGCCAGGTGTCTGGGCAGGGCAGTGCCAAGATCGGCCCACGTTGTTAAAGCCACCTTCCCCCTCCCACAGGGATCACAGGGTGGAGACATGCCTCCTCCCTCGGACAGGACTCCCAGGCCATGGATGTCCCCCGGCCCCTCAAACGGGGCTCCCAAGACAGCACGGGGTCTGCCCAGGGTGGGCTGTGTCTCCATACCAGGCAGGACCCCTGGGTGAAGCTGTGTCTCCTCCCCCGCCGCCCAGACAGGGCTCCTCCGGCAGGGCTCGCCTCTGCCCTCAGACACTTCGCATCCCCCCAGGTGAGCCAGGCGGAGCCGGTGAGGCCCGAGGGCGAGCTGTGGCGCATCCGGGCCCAGGCGGGCCTCAGCGTGGTGGCCATCATGGCCGTGGACATCTTCTTTCACTTCTTCTACATCCTCACCATCCCCGGTGACCTCAAGTTCGCCAACCGCCTCCCAGACAGCGCCCTGGGTGGGTCCCCAGAGCAGGGACCAGGGCTCTGCTGCCACCCCAGGAAGACAGGCCCTTTGTGCTCCCAGGAGGGTGCCACAGTTGGGGAAGCTGAGGCCCTGAGGGCACAGCACCTAGGGGTGGGAGAGCAGGGACTTGTCCTTGGAAACGCGTGGGGCTCGGCGTGGGCTTTGCCCTGTGAGGCGGGAACAGTGTCCCACAGAGCCGGCCCCGCTTCTCCGGGCAGTGGCTGACTTCCACAGCTGTGGCGGGGTCTGCATGGGGCAGGCGGGGCCCGGTGTCTCCCCCAGAAAGCGACGGGATGGGGTCTCTGTGGGGATGGGCCCAGGAGCAAGGACCTCCCCTGGCACCTGAGAAGAGAAAGTGTGCATGGGAGAGATTTCAGCGACTCCCCCAGTAATTGGGGTCGGCAAGGGGAGGCCGACACACAAACCCAGGCGGTGACGGCCCCCTGTCCCCAGCTGGCCTGGCCTATTCCAACCTGGTGTACGACTGGGTGAAGGCAGCCGTCCTCTTTGGCGTCGTCAACACCGTGGCACGCCTCGACCACCTGGACCCGCCCCAGCCTCCAAAGTGCATCACAGCACTCTACGTCTTTGGGGAAACGTGAGTGCCGGCCGGGGAGGCTCCCCCTGGGGTCCCCACTGCCTCCCAGCCTCTTCCCTGTGCCCGGGAAGCTCTGCCCCTGGCAGTCACACCCGTCTGCTCTCCCCGCACAGGCACTTCGACCGTGGCATCAACGACTGGCTTTGCAAGTGAGTTGGGAGCGGGGGATGGTCACAGCCATCCTGCCAGGTGTCTGGGCAGGGCAGTGCCAAGCTCGGCCCATGCTGTTAAAGCTCACCCCTGGGCCAGAGGAAGCAAGGAGGGCAGCGAGGAGGCCGTGGCAGAGGTCTAGGCGGAAGACGTAGAGGTCTGGCCTTGGGTGAGAGCCCCGCAGGTAGAGACGGGGTGAGAGTAGAGACAGGCCGCAGGGACCCATGTCAGGACGGGCCCTGCAGTGCAGGCACAGGGAAGGAGAGGGAGATGACTCCCAAATTCCTGGGAGGACGGAGGGCTGGTTTCCAGAGAGGGATTCACTGTGAGGAGCGTGTAGTTGGATCACAGGCGGCACCCTTGTGGAGAGTCAGGGAGGTGGGTGGGCTGAGGGTCGGGCTCAGAGCAGCCTAGGGGCTGATGGGCTCTGAGCATCGTGGGTGTAGCCGCATGGCCTTTCAGGCTTGGGAGTGGATCAGTGCCGAGGAGAGAGAGTAGAGTGAGGAGAGCGGGGGCGGCCAAGACTGGGCCTGGGAGGACTCTGGTCGGGGGAGGAGGAAGAGCCAGCAGAAGGGACAGACAGGCGTGGTCAGAGGAGCAGGAGAACCCAGGCCGGGGACGCCCAGGAAGCCAAGGGAGAGGACCATCAGGCGTGGCGGGGCAGCTGGGGCAGGCGCAGCGCAGGCCCGAGGAAGCTGGACACTGAGGATGAGTGTAGGTGGCGTGCAGCCTTGGGCTGCAGAGGCGAGGGCAGGCGGGAGTGGAGGGACGCTGAGGAACTGCAGGGGCTGTGCGGGTGACTCCTGAGGCACCGGGAATTACTCAACGGGGAAGAAGCTGGTGATGCAGGATGCGGGGCTGGCGGAGGGACCAAGGTCCCTGGGGAGGGAGGAGGCCATGGCATCCAGGTCCAGGCGGAGGCCTGGCTTTGGGAGGAGGACGAGGAGCCAGTGTGGACACAGAAGAATGGCATGTCAGTGTAGAAAAGTAAGGGCTTCCACGTGTCCTCCGTGAAGCAGGTTGGTGCAGCCATGGGCTGAGTGCTGCGGGGCTGGGGGCAGGAAGGAGGCAGCACCCAGGGCTCCCTCGCCCCCCACCAGGGTGGGTCTCCCACACCCACTCCCACTTGCAGGAGGGATGAGGGCACAGCCACTGCAGGGCCCAGGAGAAACAGAGGACTAGAGAAACCGTGGCACTGAGAGCCCACGTGGTATGGGGCGTCGTGGGTTTACAGACTCCAGGGTGTGAGATGTGCGATTTTCCCAAGCAGGGCTCAGCTGCTTGGGTGCAGGTGAGGAGAGAGCAGCTGACTGGGCTCTCCCAGATGGCCGAGAGGAGGAAGTGAGGGACATGTGTTTTTAGGTTATTTATAATGACGACTCATTGGAGGAGCAGCTACCCGAGTCAGCTCTTGTTAAGGAGGGTGGTGAAGACAGGAGGTCACAAGATCAGTGGGACCAAAGGACTGAAGCTGGGGGGCCAGAGGTCAGGAGGGGCTGGGCAGAGTGGGAATTAGGAAGAGGTGAAATTTCAAGCGGTGACAAAGTTGGGGCATGGCCGTGGGAGAGTGGGTGGCTGAGGTGGCGTGGAGGAAAAAAAACACCGGAAATGAGGAGGTCAAGGAATGGAGAGGCCGGTTACTCAATGGGTCTTCCACTGAATTTATTCAACAAATATTTACTGAGCACCTACTATGTGCCAGGCACTGTTCTAGGCACTGGGGATACAGCAGTGAACATGGCAAAGACCCTGAACCCATGGAGCTTACAGTCTAGTGGGGAGAAACAGACCATAAACAGGTAAACAAACATAAATAAGATAATTTTAGAGAGTGGTAAGTGTTATGAAGAAAACACAACGTGTAAGGGGAAAGGAGTTGGTAACAGGGTAGAAGCTTCTTTCGTTGGGTTCTGGGCGGGCTTCTCCGAGGAGACCTGAGTGACAGGGAGATCTGGGAAGAGAATTCCAGGCAGAGGGAACAACTGCATAGCCCTTGAGGCACGAACCAACCGGGTGTGTCTAAAGCCAGTAAGGCCAGCAGGGTAGACGGGGAGAATGGAGGCATGAGGTCAGGGAGGGGCAGAAACCAGGCTACAGGGGTCTCCCAGCCAGAGCAAGGAGGTGGAGCTTATTCCCATTGCGACGGGAGTGGGGCTAATCATGGAAGTGACGCGAGCCAAGCTACACTCTGAAGCTGCGTGGACGAGGAGAATGGGCTGTAGCGGCAAAGGCAGAAGCGGGAAGACCACCTAAGAGGCTCTTGCAATGAACAGTGTGAGAGGAGATGACCTCCCCCACTGGGGAGTAGAAGTGGTGAGCAGCAGTCAGGACCGAGTGGAGAAACAGAATACGCTGGCTTGCTTGGAGGTGGGCGATGAGGGAAACTGAGTCCAAGCGGGCACCAGGGCTCATAGCCTGAGCAATGAGCGGTGGTGCTGGTAACTGAGAGGGGGGTGGAGCGGTTTGGGCAGGGACGGGGCATCGGGCATCCACGTGAGATGCCTACAGCAGTTGGATGCACGGGTCAGGAGAGACTGGGCTGAAGACACAGATTTGGGGGTCATCGGCATGGAGCCAGGTGTGAAGTCCTGGGTGTGGATGACGTCACTTGGGGAGGAAGAGAGCAGAGCCAGGGAGGGTGTGCTGTCTGAGGCCGAGTCCTCCAGTGTGGAGCTGGGTAGAGGAGGAGGAGCAGCTACCTGAGATCAGGGACGTTGAATGTGCCCAGGGTGACAGCGCTGAGGAGGGCTGCCCTGTTGTGTCCTCTGCCCTTCTTGTACCTGCTCTTTCCCACACCTCCTCCGGCCCCTTCTCCCGTCTTTCCTGCAGATATGTGTACGACCACATTGGTGGGGAGCACTCCCAGGTGATCCCAGAGCTAGGGGCCTCGGTGGCCACATTTGCCATCACCACTCTGTGGCTCGGGCCTTGTGACATTGTCTACCTGTGGTCATTCCTTAACTGCTTTGGCCTCAACTTTGAGCTCTGGGTGCAGAAGCTGGCAGAGTTGGGGCCCCTAGCACGAACTGAGGTGAGCAGGGAAGGTCCGGGCTGGGACTGGATGGCTCACGGGGGACGGTGGGGACTGCTGCTTTCTGGGGTTGTCCAAACACTCAGCCCCAGTCCAGAACTTTCTCACCACCACCCTCCTGTTGTCAGGACAATGGCTCTCCTGTGGGAACCTGGCCTTCCCCACCTTCTGTGGGGAATGGAGCACCTGGGCCTGGCTGTGTTGCTCAGCCCTCACACTCCCTTTGGACCTCAGTTTCCCCATGTTTAACAATGAGGGAGACCCAGGCATACCCCCAGGACCTGAGTAGCTATGTGGGCAAGACCGCTGACCAACCGCGTCCTCTTTCCTTTGGGCCTCTTGTCCTGCTTCCAATGCTGTCCGGGACTGGGCAGGCCTCTCTGTCGGAGCAGATGTCCCGCAGGGTCCGGGCCCTCTTTGGGGCCGTGAACTTCTGGGCTATCATCATGTACAACCTTGTGAGCCTGAACAGCCTCGAGTTCACAGAGCTGGTTGCCCGGCGCCTGCTACTCACAGGTGAGGGACAGGGGTGTGGATTACAGAATGTGCCAGGCATCAACCTCTAGGACTGTGACCTTCTGAAATGCCCCCTACCCGGCCCAACGCCCCAGGGACTCGGCAGGGAGGGCCAGCCGAGTGGGGAGAGGGATGGGAAGACAAGAGTCACTGAGGAAGGGGTGCTGCTCCAGGGCGCTGACAACTTCTTCCCTACACAGGGTTCCCGCAGACCACGCTGGCTGTCCTGTTTGTCACCTACTGTGGTGTCCAGCTGGTGAAGGAGCGCGAGCGAACCCTGGCACTGGAGGAGGAGAAGAAGCAGGACAAAGAGAAGCCGGAGTAGGCGGGAGGGGGACGGGGACAGGCTCTGCTCAGCTGTTCCTGGGCCCCAGGCCCAAGCCGGCCCAGATGCGGCCGACCGACAGAATAAAAGACTTTTCTACCGCAGCCTGCCTTTCCCTGCCCCTTCTCCCAGCAGTCTCCTGCTCCTCGTCTATGGAGGCTGAGGAGCCGGGGCTCGAGGCCTCAGCGAGGGCCACACAGAGAGTGCGGAGCTGACACCACGTGGAGGGCAGAGACCACTGCTCCTGGCGACCCAACTGCAGAACACTGAAGCCCCGGATCTCCAAACCACCAGGTCTCTGCCTTGGCACCTGATTCCAGGCCTGAGCTGCTTGCTCGGAAGGCACTTTATTCTTCTCAGCAAAGGAGACTCATCCAAGCTGCAAGGTGCGCTCGATGGGGACGCTCCCATCTGTGGGGACTCATGTGGCACACACGGCCCGGCTGGGGCAGGGCCAGGGTGCACCTGGGATCCACCCCTGTGGTTCTGGCTTGTGGACCAAGAAGACCCGGAGTGATATGGCGACACTGGAGAAGCCTCTAGGTGCTTGGCCCTGCCCGGAAGCCAGGTCCACACAGGGATTTTCCTCTCCTGGCTGGCGCAGCCCCTCGGCACCATAACTGGATCCAGGGGCGCTCTGGCCTCCTCCTCCGAGCCCCCACCACGCCAGGTCTGTGGGCGCCGCAGGACGGGAGGGGCGCTTAGTTCAAGGCCCCTGGGCCGGTCACATCTTGGTCAGGCGCAGCACATTGAGGCGCACAGGTAGGAAGGTGGCACCTGCCGCGTAGGCGATCTCCCGCAGGACACCCTCCCACTTCTTCTCATCCTCGTTGTACCTGGAGGGTGGAGTGGGGACAGCGGGGACAAGGAGGGGCAGCTTGGTCAGCTGAGCCTAGAGTGGAACTCAGCAGAGAGGGGTGGTTGGGTGCATTGGGCCCGTCTCTAGGTAGATCTGCTTCTGGAAAATTCGCCTGTTCTGGGAAAGGAGGCCCCCACAAGACCCACCACGAAGAACACTCACCTCACAGTCTAGGAAGGGCCACCCTCTCTGGGAAAGGACACCTCCCAAGGCTTCCCACATTCCTCAGAGTCCATCTCCCTCCAGGACGGTCTACACCCCACAAGCCAATCCCCTCCCCTTGAGCATTTCTGTACTCCGCCTCCAAGTCCCCTCCCAGCAGCTCTGCTCCCCAGAGGCTGCCTGCAGCAGCGGGGATGACTGAAGCTTTAGGGGACACCCCAGGAGATGAAACCCCTTTCCCCCACCCCAGGAAGGACCATCCATGGAAAGCAATGGTCGCCCCCTGGGCCCTGTTCCCACAGGTCTGTGCCCTAAGCTTGGGGTCGGCTCCCGTCTGCAGCATTGTTGGTGCTCCACAGTGGGGCACAGCACCCCACGTGCAAACCCAGACCTTCCCGAGCAAACTGGCGAGACCCTGGGGCCGAGCAGGGCGCACCTGCTGTTCCTCCCCTGCTTTGCCCACAGAGCAGCCTGCCAGGTGCCTCGGTGCCCTGCACACTGCCATGAGGTGTCAGCCTTGCTCCTGCTTGCCCCCTCGCCTCCCTGGGGCTGGGCTCACCTCCAGATGTCGTTGAGCTCTGTGGGGACCAGCTCTCCGGATTCCGTCTCCAGGGTGGCAAAGCCACCGATGGCATAGAGGGTGCCCGCCAGGCTGACCAGGCTGAGCGAGCTGCGCTCCTGCGAGAAGGCCTCGAAGGGCGCCCACCTGGGAGGGGGTGAGGAGGCGCATCACCACGGGCCTCAGCAAGCCCAGGGTGCTTCCTGCCACCAGCGCCCACAGCTTCTGCTGCACTCTCTGCAACCCGAATCCCAGCGCCCGTGCTCCCAGCACACGCTCCTGTGCTCCGCGCAGCCCTCTCAGGAGCGCCTACCTGGTGCCCCGCCCCAGCCTCAGAGCGTCCCAACCGGTTCCCCTTCCCTCTGCCTCTGGTGGTCACCGCCTTCCCCAGTCTCTGGCTCCTCCCCTTTCCCTTCCTTGTCCCCTTGTCATTCCATCCAAGCTGCCCAGTGAAGGCCACCATGGATCTCCCCACTGTTCCCCCTCCTCTCCCACCCACCAACTCAGGACCCCAGTCCCCGGCAGGCCCCAGATTAGCCCTGGACTAAGTCCTCTTGCTAAGACTAAGACACAGTCCTCTTGCTCCTCAGTGGCCAGTGACGCCCCATCCCTTGCCTCCTATCCGCCCCTCTTCTCACACGCAGCTTTCTCAAGGCATCTTTGCTCCCCTGGCTCCTGCCTTGGGCCTTCATCCCCACCCTCCAAAACTGCTCTCACCACCGCAGGGCTTTGAAATCCAGGCCCCCAGCACACAACACTGCTGATGTGACTCTCACCTGCTACCTCTCCAAGCTCACCTCCTCAGACTTCTTCCTGGATAACGTACCTGCCCCCAGCGCCCCTCTGGGCGTGGCCCTCAGCTCCTCACATTTGCACCCTCCCTCTTGGGTGAGCTCGGCCCCTCCATGTGCTGTTGACCCCCGATCTCGCTGTTGACCCCAGATCTCTCCCTCCAGCTCAGCCCTCTCTGTGCCCCAGTGGGCTCCTCCTGGACACCCCTGGGCATCTCCTACATGGACCCTCATTTTCCCTGTCTCACCCCAGTGGTTCTCCAATAAATGGCTTCCCACCCTCGCCAAAAAGCACTACATCCCCCTCATTTAACCCTACGATCCAACTGATTGCTAAGCCCTGTTCCACCCCTAAACTCTGGCTACTCAAAGTGTGGTTCATGGACCGGCAGCCTCAGCATTACCTGGGGATTTGTTAGCAATACAGACTCTCAGGCCCTCCCCGTGCCTGAGAATCTGCATTTTAACATGATCCCCCGGGGGACCTCCGTGTACATCACAGGGTGGGAGGCCCTGGCCTAAGTCTTTCTCCAGCCCCATCTGCACTGTGCCCCCAGCTCCAGGCCCCCATCACCTCTCGTTACAGCTGCACCCCTGACCTCCCTGCCTCCTGGGAATCCCCAATCTCCTGTCTACATCAGCTGCCATGAGGCGCCTTAGCAGAACACAGATGGGCACTTAAACCCAGTGAGAGGCAGGTCACTGCCCCTCTCCTGCTGTCCCCTGCCAGCCCCAGCACTGCCATCCCACCTCCCTTCCCCCCCACCCGCCATCCAGCCTGAGCAATGCCTTCCCTCCAGTGTGTCTTGCCTTTTTTCTCCTAACTGCCTTGGCACCAAGCTTCCTTTGCTTGGGGCATCCTTTGCCCACCCACCCTGGCCCCCTTTGCAGCTGAGTACAACCGTCTGTCAGCTCAGTTTTCTCTTTCTTGATGTCCCAGGCAGGGGAGCTTCTGTCTTGGTGACTGCTACATCCCTTGCACCAGGCCACCGCCTGCTAGGAGTCCCTGAATGAGGAAGCTGCCATGCCCTACTCCACCCAGGCTGGCCCTAACCGTCCCCCACCTCGTAGGGGGAAGCCGCCCTCCCCACTTCACTGCCGATCAGAGGAGAGGCACTATTTCTACGCCAATCTCCGAACTCAGCCGTGGAGAACCCACATGGGGCTACGACTCCCGCTAGGGCCCACACAGGCCCAAAGCCACGCGACTGTCCCTGTGGGGAGGGGGCAGCCAGCTGCGTACTTGTTGTCTGCGATGCTGTACACCTCGGCAGAGCTGGTCAGCCCTGTGTCGGTGACCCCAGCCGCCACGAAAATGCGGCCGTCATGGATGGTGGCACCAAAGAGCGAGCGGGCGGTCTGCATGGGCGCCAGCTCCTTCCACTCGAACTTCTTGGGGTCGTAGACGCACATTTTGTTCAGGCACTTCCTGTGGGGGGGGCGGCGAGTGAGCGGAGAGTAGCGGGAGCCCGGCCACCCTTCCCTCCCGCCCCGTCTCCCAGGGCGGCCAGCACAGACCCCTGACCGCGGCGGGGAGACTCTGCTCCTGCTCGCTGCGCAGACTCGCTCAGGCCCCAGCCTCACCTGTCGCTGCCTTTGCCGCCAATGACGTAGACAAGGTCCATGTGGGAGAGCACCGCGTGACCGTACACGGCATAAGGCAGCGGGTCCGATTCCCCCCATTTAAATGACCTGGAGGGGACCGGAGTGGGACAGACGCCGGGCTCAGGCATGCGCTCGGTCCTGGCGTCCGCATTCACCCACCTTCCCAACACGCATTCAGGGTGCACCCCAAGTTTTGCTGGGACTTCCCAGACCTCTCATTCCCTCGTTCCCATGCCACCTCGCACCGCCCCACCGCCACGGAACCCCACCCCTGCCCCAGGCCCCGGCCTCCAGGCACTTCCCTCCCACACCCTGGACCCCGCCCCCAGCCACTCCCCTCCCACACCCTGGACCCCGCCCCCAGCGCCCGGCCCCGCCCCCAGCCGGGCTCACAGCCTGTCGTAGCACATGACCGAGTCCAGGCAGCGCTCGCCGTCCTTGACCTCTCGACCGCCGACCACGTAGATGGAGTTGAGAGCCTCTCCCAGGCCGAAGAGGCAGCGTGGGGAGGGCAGCGGTGGCATCCCCAGCCACTCTGAGTCCAGGTGGTCAAACTGCGGGCCGGGTTTGTGCGGTCAGCTGCCGCCCCCTCACTTCCCCAGCCCCAGCCCAGCCCAGCCCAGCCAGTCCGATAACAGAGGAGTCCGGGCCTCCAGGTAGGACCACGCAGCCTGGAAGCAGGCCTGAGGGACGGTGCCCCTCCTGCCACCAGGCTGATAGCAGAGCGGCCCACGCCCCCCTCCCACCGCAGGTAGGTGCCCAGTGACCACCTTGACAGCAGGGTGATGGGCACCGCAGCACTGATGTGAGGAGGGAGCTCCAAGAAGGAGGTCCTGCTGTGGCCTTGGTGCCTCCCCAGCAGAGCTCGGGGCGGAGGCCTGCCTGCCCCTTGCTCTACACCCCATCCCACTGCTCTGGAAACTTCCAAATCACCTCTGCCATTCACCCCTTAAAATCTACAGTCTGCAGACGTGCCCACCTCCACAGCCTTATAATAAAGATAATAGTGTCTTATCTTTTTGGAAACTTTTCTGAGGGCTGAGCACTTTATAAGCATCACTTAACCTTCAAACGACCTTAACCAAGCAGGAAGAACAATATTCCCACTTACAAAGGCCCAGAGAGAATAAACAGCCCAGAGAGAAATAACACACTGCTGAGCTGGTAACTGGTGGAGCTACCCCCATGCCCCCATCCAACCGTAAGTCTTGTGAGCTTAACCCTAGCCCCAAGCTGCCCCTACCCCTCTCACTGGTCAAGCTCTTCCCTGGTTCTGTCCTTTGCTCACCGTTCCCTGCCCAGAAACACTGCCACCCTCCCCTTCATATCTCCAAATCCCACCCAACTGGCAAGGCTCAAACCTACATGGCCGGTCTCCAGGAAACTCTCTCTGCCCTCGAGATCTCACAGTCACACCCTCAAGTTGGACTGGGCACTCCACTCTACTGGTCCTGCCTGGGCCTCAGTTTCCTGATCTCCACAATGGGAGGATTAGGCAGGATGGTGCCTTTGTCTGGAGCACTCTGTGCTCTGGGCTCCAGTCTTGGCTCTCACGCAAAGACCCTGCCAGGAACCCTGCACTGGTCTTGTGCCCCCTTCCCACTGTGCCTGACCCCAACCACGTGCAGGGCCAAGGGCCTCCAATGTATGCCAACGTGGGGCTAACGTCCCCTGTTACTGAGACATGAAGTTATGCACCTCTTTGGCAGCTGCCTATGACTGTTGGACCTTTAGGCAAGTGGCTGTCAGTCAACCTCCTGGTCTACATCTCACCCTAGACCCAGTGACATTCCCCTGAGTGAACACAGGTGCCTCCTGAGCCCCAGGCTGCCCCCAGTGCCCAGAACCCTGCTGCTCCCAAGACTGGCTAGGCACCTGAAGGAAGTAAGCACTCATGGGGTCCTCTTTGTTGTCCTCGTTGTAGAAAAGTCCTCCAGCCACGAACACCTGGTTCTCCCTGGTGACCAAGCTGACGTGGTTCTTGGGGACCTGGTTGGAGAGGGAGGCACAGTAGCACTCATTGGCTGCTGGATCGTAGGCCACAGCGCCCTCCTCGCTGATCATGAAGATAAGGTCCTGCAGGAACATGCCAAAGCGCAGGGTGTCATTGAGGATCCCAGGCAGGACGCGTTCGTCCTCCTCGTCCTCCTTGGCTTCGGATGCGCCCTTGTTGGCCTCCTCAGCCCCGGCTGCCTCCTTCCCCTTCTTTTTCTTGCGCAGCGTGGTGATGCGGCCCTCGTGCGCGTCCTTCACCATCTGCACCTTGCGCAGCAACTCGGGCTGGGCGCGCACGAGAGGGTGGCGCTCCACGCGGCTCTCCAGGAAGGCGCGCGGCAGCAGGCGGCAGCGCACGCTCTCAAAGACGGTGGGCAGCGCGCGCTGGCGCTCGGCCTGCGCCTCGGAGTCGCCGCTGCCCGCCCACCGCATCACCGCCTCGAACACCGCCTCCTCCTTCTCCACGTTGAGGCCGTCGCTGGAGATGATGGCGATGAGCTCGTCAGCCGAGAGGCCGAGGAAGTCGGCGTCGCGCGCCACCAGCGTGAAGTGCGCACAGATGAAGTCGCGGGCAGCCACCGCGAGGCGCGCGCAGTCGAGCAGGAGGCCGAGGCGGAAGACGGCCAGGCAGTTGGAGAGGCACAGGCGCTTCTGCAGGAAGGACACGCAGATGGTGAAGATGGACGGGATCTGGAAGCGGTGTGCCGCAGCGAACAAATCCTGCACGCTCGCCTCGTCCAGCGAGATCTCCGACGTGTACAGGTAGTGCAGCACCTGGGCCACCACGTCCGGTGACACCTCCTCCAGGCGCAGCTCGCCTGCACTCTCTGGCTCAGCTAGGAAGCGCGCCCGGAAGTAGGGGCTGCAGGCGGCCAGCACCAGGCGGTGGCACGGGAACTCGCGCTCTCCCGCCCGCACCACACAGTCGAGGAACTTGCCGTGGTCTAGCATGTCCTTGAGCCCGTCTTGCAGGAGCGTCTGCTGGTACAACCGCTGCTCCTCCGCCTGCTCCAAGCCCAGCGCCATGGTGGGGGCCCACGGTGCAGCGACAGTGCCAGAGGGCTCCTCTCTGTCCCCTTGCTTTCCTGCTGGGGTGCGCTTAGACTGCGCAGCTGTCTGCCCTGGGCTATATATAGAGGTGGACCCAGCTCTGTAAGGCGAGCCGCCTGGCCTCCGGCACATGACGCACAGGGGACAGCTGGGAAGAGGCCCCCTCCCGGAGCAGCCTTGACTCAGCCCTGGGGGCTCAGGGGACGGGGGTGGGATGTCTAGGCCTTCCCCAAAAGATGAGGGCCTTGCTACTTCATTTCTAAATGGAGCACAGCAAGGCTTAGACTCTGGAGTCCCGGGTCAGGAGGTGACCCTGCGAGGGTGGCCCAAGCTGTGATGGGTAGTCCAGGGAGCGGGAAGCATTGGAGCCCCTTTTCCAGGGTCTCCCTTCATGCTCTTCCTCCGGGCCTATCTGTCCTGTGCCTCCTTTCCTCCCATCTTCCTCACTCCAGCACCACCACCCCCCCCCTGCCCCCATACAGGATGTTTGGGTTTCCTGTTCAAAACTTGGTTATGGCCTTCACTCTTTGGGAGCCTTCTTGCCCCCTCTTTAAAATGGGAAGAGCTTTTCCTCTTTCTGCCCCAGCTCTAAGACCCTCCTTTTTGCAAGAAAGCAGGAAGGTGCCTTAGGCAAACAAGGTCATTTCCTGTGGGGCCTCGAGCAAGTCAGGCCTCTCTGTTAAGCCTCAGTTTCTCCTCCTACACCATGAGGAGGTGGAGAAGTTAGACAGTAACAGCCTCAGTTCAGGCCCACTGAGCTACTGTGTTGCTGGGAGTACACTGTTAGATGGTTCTGATACTCTTAAGGTATCAGACGTTCTAGAAAATTAATTTCCTGGGATCCTGCTCTTCTAGGTGTCTAAAATCTCAGGGTTTTAATACTCTAGGGGAGTTAATATTTTGAATTCTAGTGTTCAAAAGGTAACACTCTAGGCGTTAAAAATTCCAGGACTTAGCTATTTATGCTCATTGTTCTTGCTCTGTACTAGGCTGGGCCTAAGCCTGCCTGGCCTCTGGGCCCCTGCACCCTGTCTATGGTGTAAGGGGTCAGGGTCCAGGCCCAGGACAGCCAATCTCAATGCTCACCCTGCTCTGGACTCCTGACCACCCTATCCCCCCCTCCCCCCAACCACACACACATCAGTTTCAGCCACCAAGATTAACTTGTTCCCAAAGTGCCAGAGGCTGCAGCTGTGGATTAAATTTAGCCCCAGGGACACGTGTATGAACTGTATGGGGCACTCCTCCATCATTCCTCTGAGTCACTTGTTTATAACCTCAGGCTCGGAGAGAGGGGGGATAGGAGAGAAGACCTCAGGCTGGGCCAGGACTGAGTCACCTCCCCTTTTGTGGTTTCAGCAATGTCACTGCCTGTCCCTTCTGAGCAGTGCATCTGACATCACTCGCTCACTCCACCAGCAGATCCAGAGGGACACAGCACCGGGGCAGGCCATGGAGGTGGCTTGTCCGTCTTGCTGAAAGGCCAAGTGCTCACTCTGAGAGGACAGGTGGTGAGCTGCTAGCCCAGCCCCGGACTGCAGGCCGTTTCTCGCACGCACGGCCAGTGAGGAGACAAGGCTCTGGGAGGCTCGGCAACTTGGCCGGGATTCGAAGCAGGTCTGCCCACCTCCGAACACTGTGGAAATCCCTCCCTACCTTGCTTCCCGGGAATTAGCAAAAATGTCCGTCAATCATAGTCTCATTTTCCAAAGACCAGGACAGAAGATACTGACTGAACAATTAACTTATATTTATCAAATGACTTAATGAGATATTTTTAGAGCATGATGGATCCCATAGTGCTCACTGTCTACCAGGCACCGATGTGTGGCTCATTCATTCAGCAAGAACCTACCATGCACTACTCTGAATGCTGAGGATGCAGCAGTGAGCAATTCAGGCAGGAATTCCTGTCTTTGTAGAGCTTACATTCATCAGGGGCAGGGACTGGGTCGGGGGAGACAGCAACAAATAAATAGTCATCCAGGATGCCAGATGCTGGTGCCAGCTGTGGAGACAACGAGTGAGGCAGGGAAAGGACATGGGAAGTGGAGGCGGAGGTTGGGGTGACTTTAAATGGAGTAGTCAGTGAGCTCACTGAGAGGGTCCCACTTGAGCAGGTTCAAACCATGGAGGGTTTTGAGGAGGGGGCATAGCCCGAGCAAATGCCCTGAGGCACCTGGCATGTTCAGGAGGAGCAAGGAGGCCAGAGTGATCAAGGAGGCAACCTTTCTATACCTCAGAACCCTCAGAAAAGATCCAGGATTGGCAGCACCAGATAGCTTGGAAGATACAGGAGAAGGCTAGAAACAAGAGGATTGGTTATAAGATTCTTTAAGAAGCATTTATACCCAAAGATCCCCAACACCACTTGGGTACAAACCAATGGTTTAATTTCTGAAGAAGATACACAAGAGAGCTCTTGACCAAAGCACCACCTGGCATTGGTGGTGCAATGTGAACACTGAGTGATTAAAAGCAACTCCATGTCCTAACTAGAAGCCCATGCTCCCACTCTGCTCCCAGAAAGCTGGCAGGCCAGCTCTGCTCTCCAAACAGGGAATTGAAATTGAGGAATCTGACAGCTCAAGAGGAAAAAAGACACCAGTAACTGAGGCCCTCAAAGAGCCTGGCCAGATCATCCCACAGTGAAATAAGGAGAAAGGTTGGGGAGAGGGACCATGTAGGGTCATGTGGGGTAGCGTGAGGACTTTGGTTTTTCCCTGAGTGAAATGAGGTGCTACTGTTCATTTTTAATTATTATTATGGAAAATGTACATATATGTATATATGTACATTTTCCATAATAATGGAAATGTTTTTCCATTATATATATATACATATATATGTATATGTATATGTATATATATATATATATATATATAGAGAGAGAGAGAGAGAGAGAGAGAGGATAATACTCTGACCTTCCCCATGAACCTATCACCCCACTTCCATACCTATCAAGCCATCAAGTCATGGCCAACCCTGTGTCATGTCTGCCCTCACCCACTCTATTTATAATCCCAGGACGGAGTGCCCAGGGATTGGATGTGAGTAGAGGAACGAGAGAGGAGAAAGGGTCACTCCAAGGACTTTTAGTCAAATCAAAGGGAAGATGTCATCTTATTTCATCTTTTGAATTTTTACTCATTTTGTCTTTACACTAAAATTATGAGGTATGTATGATTTTTCCCATCTTATAGAAACTGAATTTTAGGTGGCCAGCAAATAGAGAGTAGTCGAATCATGTTTTTTTAAACAGCTTTATTGAGGCATAATTGACATGGCGATATACTGCACATATTTAAAGGGAACTATTTGGTAAGTTTTGACACACCTGTGAAGCCACTGCCACTATGATCAAGATAGGAAACCTATCTATCACCCATGAAAGTTTCCTCATGCCCTTTTCTGTTTTCTAAAGAGACGAGGTCTCACTGTGTCGCCCAGACTAGAGTGCAGTGGCTATTCACAAGTGCGATGCCACTACTGGCCAGCACGGGAGTTTTGACCTGCTCCGTTTCTGACCCAGGCTGATTCACCCCTCTTTAGGTAACCTGGTGCTCCCCTGCTTCCCAGAGGTCACCATGTTGATGTTGAACTTAGTGCACCTGATCGGCGCAGTGCAATACAGCCCAGAACTCCTGGGCTCGAGCCATCCTCCCACCTCAGCCTCTGGAGCAGCTGGAACGAGAGGTGCGTGTCACCACACAACCATCTCCTCATCTCTCCCCACGCACCCCCAAGCCAAGGCACTAATCTGCTTTCTGTCCCTCTAACCCAGACTAACTTCTGAGTTAAAGGTGGCCTGTGCTGCAAGAAGTTGAGATGCTAGAAATGCTTTTATGTGACATAGAGAAAGAGATCCAAAGACAAGGAGCCAGGACTGTTGGCATGGGTATATTTCCTGTGAACTTCATTGCCATATGTTTGCTGAGGGCTTAAAGGACACAGTCATTCATCATTGATGATGTATTGGTGAGGAATGCTGGCAACTTAGACGTGCTACAGTGGCTAAGGATGTGGGTCGGAGCCTTTGCCTTTGAAGTGGCCCCCTGATTTCAGGAAGGATGAGAGGATCTTGGGGGGGGGGCAGTGGCCAAGGAATGGTTCATAAATGCCAGAGACAAAGTGAGAGCTGGATAGGGTGGTATTCAAGTGGACTGACCTATGGGGATCCTTAGGGTGGCTCATGGATCATGGATTTCCTAGGAACTGAAATAGGTGGTCATCCTACTGAAGTCCCACTGATATGCATTCTGAATCTGGATTCACCTTCCCTGCCTGCCACATTCTCTCCATCCATGGATGTAATGCCTTACTCATGTTTATGGAACCAAACTCAACACTGCATCTGATCCAAGGTCTCACTTTGTAGCAAGAGAAGTGAGACAAGCCTTCCAGTTAATGATGACAGATTAAATGCACATATTTATTTTTGCTTCCCTCTGAACCTCACTACAATTAAAGTAGAGGGTTAAAAGAGAAAATATAGCATAAACTCCCAGGGACACAGTAACAACACCATGGATTCTGGAAAGCAGGTGATGGGGGTGAGCAGTTTAGCAGGCCTGATCCCAAGTCAGCAATGGGAGACCCCAATGCCACCTTTCTATACCTCAGAACCCTCAGAAAAGATCCAGGATTGGCAGCACCAGATAGCTTGGAAGATACAGGAGAAGGCTAAAAACAAGGGGATTGGTTATTAAATTCTTTAAGAAGCATTTATACCCATAGATCCCCAACACCATTTGGGTACAAACCAATGGTTTAATTTCTGAAGAAGATACACAAGAGAGCTCTTGACCAAAGCACCACCTGGCATTGGTGGTGCAATGTGAACACTGAGTGATTAAAAGCAACTCCATGTCCTAAATAGAAGCCCATGCTCCCACTCTGCTCCCAGAAAGCTGGCAGGCCAGCTCTGCTCTCCAAACAGGGAATTGAAATTGAGGAATCTGACAGCTCAAGAGGAAAAAAGACACCAGTAACTGAGGCCCTCAAAGAGCCTGGCCAGATCATCCCACAGCGAAGGCCTCTAATCACCAAGGCCCTTCATTCAT